TCTAGGTTTCGAATCACCTTTCTTTAGGGCTTATCCCTAGTACTGCTTCAGGGCCCTCCCTGGTGGCGCAATGGGTTAGGACGCAACACTGCAAGCTGGCTACAGCCGCTTCAGTGTGAGTTCGATCCCCGCCCCGGAGCTGACCCACATGGCCCAGCAGATCTCTCCTGACCCGCCTGCCCGCTGCTCCCCTCAGTAGTGTACTTTGTCAGTCGGCCTGTTCTGCTCCCAACTGTGTCTCTGGTGAACCCTCTCACCGCCCCTGCACCTCCGGCCTGTACCCCAGTTCTGTGTGCAGAAATAAATCCTTTAAAAAAAAAAAGTCCTGTTTCCTTGTCTCCTGAGAACCAGGACTGCTGGGGAGAAGCCTGCTACCAATCTGACTCTTTTCTCTGGAAACTTCCTGTTTCTCTAGAAGGGTGTGAGATTTTTGTCCTTTTGAACTTTAGAAGATAAGACCACAGGTGTGTGGTCCTTTCATTCTTCTAGCACTTTTGGAGCTTTTCAGCTTGAAGGTGTATGTCTTCCTTCTGCTCTGGGGAACTTTTCCCCGATTTCTTAGCTCGCTCTCTACCGTGCTTTTCCCGGTGTGTTCTTTCTCTGGGATTCCTGTTTAGGATGACGTTGACCTTTCTAGGTTGCTGTCTGACAGCAAGATCCTTCTTTATCCTGTGAATATATCACCCCTGTTTTGAAAGGTTTCCTTATTTTCCAGCCCTTTACTGAATTATTGAAGTCAGCACTCATGTTATTTCTGAGAGCCCCGTTTCGTCAGCCTATTTATCTTCAGACTCTGAAGACAAACTTTGATAGAAGCTTCTCCTTCGTCCAGATTTCCTTTTGCACGGCACAGTCCCCTTTCTCCTTGTCTCGCGCTCTTTGCCACGCTCCGGGTTTTGCTCGGAGCCCTGTGGCTTGTTGTCGTCAGTCACTTGTAGTCCCTGAAAGCCTCGTGGAAGATGGGCACTGGCTGCCTTTGGAGCTGGTGGACCGCCTGCCCCTCTGCCTGGGCAGCTCCCATGAGCAGCGTCGGGCCGAGGGGCTTCCACAGGTCTGGGTAGGGGTGCTGGCCTCTTCCTAGCACGCCCTGATCACCCCAGGCAGTTCCTTGCATGTCCTCATGGCCCCTCCTGCCCGGGCCCTGCAGAACCCCTGACCTGTGCGTGCTGCATCTGGGGTGCAGCCGGCGGCCCGCCTTCCGTGCCCTCACGGACAGCCTTCTTCCACTGCCGTTTCCAAACCCAGAGCCCCCCGGCGCCCCCACTGCAGCTGTCTCCCATTGCCAGTTGCTTCCCTGCGCTCCAGACTTCAGCTCCCCTCTCTTGTCATGCTTCTGTGAACTTTCCTCCTTTCAAAAAAGATTTGAAATGAAACCTTTTGTTCAATAATGTCTGCCCCTAAGAGGGAAAGTCTGGCTTGCAGTTTAGAAGACGGGATCCTCTTCTTTATTTTTAAGCGCATGCTCTTTCTTCACCCCAAGCCAGGGGTGTGTATAGGACACCAGACGCTAGGAAAGCAGCCAGGTGCGTGCCAACAACACCTGCACAGCTTCCATCGTTCGTGAGGGGGACTCCGCCCCCTCACCCCCAAAATGACGTCAGGCTCTGGGCTCAGACGTTGCTTTCAGTGTAGATGTGGTTCTTTCAGGGTCCATACCCCAGAAGGCAAAATGGTTATTTCTGGGTGGTCGGGTGTTGGATCATTTTCCTCCCTTCTCTCTGCTCTTCTGTGTCTTCCTATTTTTAACAATAAGCAGTGACGATGGAAAGAAAACAAAATCCATATTTATGTCATAGTCAATATGCTGCTAAGTGTATGAAAAAAAAAATGGCGTGTGAGCAAGTGGGAGTGTGGAATGGCATGGACCGAACCCGCCTTTGAGGGGTGACGTGCTGTGGCATCCACAGCCGCTCGTCGGAGGAGGAGGGTGTGCTTGCTGCCCACGTGCTTCTCAGTCCTCGCCGTCAGTGACTCCCCTGATGCGTTGCGGAATCTCCTCACGGTCGGGAAGGAACAGTTCTGGCTACCTCCTAAGGACCCTTGTGGAGACTGAGTGAGGACATGGATAGGAGGCAGTTAGTTATCTGGCATGTGGTAAGCATTCAGTAAAAGTTTTTGTTGCTTCTCAGTTTTCTTGTGTTCATCGCTGTCTTATAACATATGCAAAATGCTCCCCAACGGAACACAGGTCTTTTCTTTAAGAGGGTCACTTCCAGCAGAGGAATAGGACCTTCCCAGGAACAAACACTATGCCTCAGAGGACTCGAGGATAATTTCTTAAGAGCGAGTAAGAACGGAGGCGGTCCCAGGCTGGGGGGCGAGCCCGTTCCAGACGGGACGAGGGGTGGGGTGCAGGGCAGCTCTGAGCCCGTCAGACCCCTCTGCACTCCGCAGCAGTTTCCCCCACCCCCAAATGGAGCCGGTACTGCTGGCTGTGAAGATCTCCGAGGGGCCCGAGGACACTGGCCTGGCCTCAGACTGCGGCCTGGTCACCTCGCTGACTCTGCTGCTCGGGTGAGCAGGTTGTCAGCCTCGATGTGCATCAGCTCTGCGCCCCCCACCCCCCTGGCCCCCGTAGATGAAGAGACTCAGAGACTCAACACCTCTGCGCTGGCTGTGGCGGGGCTCACAGGAGTGAGTCTGGGCAGCTCAGCAGCTCAGAGGAAGCATGGCCCAGCGCTGAGCGGATTTGCTAGTCGGTGCTGGGGCCTCAGGGCTCCTGTGTGGATTCTGTCTCCAGAGCAGCTCTTCAGGCTGCAAGGCAAGTGCCATGTCATCTTTGTGAAGATCCGACTGGACTCCTCACTGCTCCTTTTGCTCAAGGAACCAGCAGGACGCGGATGATGTCGGTAAACTGGCCCAGGGCGAGCCCCGCTCCTCCTGACGGCCAGGTTGAGTGTTGCTGCTGAGAACACGCCTGCCAGCCTCCGCAGGCTTTGTTCCTTCCATCCTGATGTTCTGGAGGAAGTCTGGGCCCTCTGACTTCCTGACATTCTTCCACAGTATTCTCCATTGTCACATCCTCAGGGCAGAGGCTGCGAGACTGAGTCAGAATAGAAAACAGGCGCTTTACTACTAAAGTGTCAGAGCTTATTCTTGAAAGTTCTTTGGAACTTGTGAGAGCCAGGTACTTAACACGCACAGGAAGCCCGCGGGAGAGACACATGCTCTGGGAAGCCATGGCGCAAAGAAGCCAGCTCGCCCATGGTGACACACAGCGAGGAGGCCCTGGACACGAGGCCCCCGGCACTCCGGAGCTGTGACTGCCGTCTCCGGGGGGCGACTGGGCTGGAGTTCTTTTTACTCTGCCACAGCCCACTCCAACTTGCGAGAAAGCCTGGACGCTGGCAAACTGCCTCCTGAGAGCCAGCCTGTGTGCGGGCCTTTCCTGGAGGGACTCAGGGTTTCCTGAGAACGAATTACAATTCTTGTTAAGTCACAGATGACCACAGCCTTTTCCTCCACCTACAACGCAGTTCTTCCCAGCTGAGCTCCAGGCCCCCCTTCCCATTGCTGTAGCTTTAAGACAGGTCAGATCTGCCTCCTGTGGGGAGCAGCAGCTGAAATTCTCCTCCTGCAGTAAGCACCCCTCTTTCCCAGTGGCCCAAAGTGTTTCCTTCAGGCAACAGGTTGACTCCTCCCTACACCTGGCCTGGCTGAACCCAAGACATCCTCCCACCCCTCCCCCATCTCCCTTTTGTTTTCTATAAACTCATTTTTTCCCTAGGCTCAATCCCATTTAGAAATGAGGGCCAGGCTCCATGGAGTCACTATTACAGAAGTAGCAGTGTGTGATGTGCACACTGACCTCAGTAGGAATTAAAGCACTCAGACCCCAAATCTGCCTCATCTGGAGCTGTGTGACCATGGACTTGCCACCTAACTTCCCCGTTTCGATTCCCTAGCCACGAAAATGAGAGTCGGCTGATATTATGTACCCAGAAAATGAGCTCCCATGTATTCAACACGCCGTATGTGCCGTGTGTTCAGTTCCCTTACCGGGGGTATTTAACTCTCACTTTCCTGAAAGGGAAGCACTAGAGCTCCGTTCTCAACCCATTTTAATTCCAGTCAACAGGCTCAGAGGAGGCATGTGGCACAGGACTCAGGTCCACCCCCTCCCGCTCCCAAATGACGCCCATAGCCCCTACCCACCACACACAAAAGCAGACAGGCTCCCTGTTCTCCCGCGCCAAGGCACCCCAGACGCAGGGCCAGAGTAATCTTGTAACCGCTGCTGCCCCGTCGACCTCTAAGGATGGGTGAATTCTCTTTATCTCGTCTAATCGTTCCATATCCCCCGGACTTGTTTCATGAACCCTTTGGGACTTTCTGTTAGTGTTCAGCGCGCCATGCAGGTGGCTGGCATGCCCAGGAGCGCCTCAGACCCCTCCAGGGTCCTTCCCTCCCTCAAGCGCGGAGCTGATCCGCCGTAGAGAGTTCCTTGTATTGCGTTTGTCCTCAGTCACGGAACCGCGGGAGTCACCAAAACCGCCATCTGATTGATGGGGAAACGGAGGCCATTCGTTCAGTTAGGAGCGTGACCAGGACTGGGCACCGGGCCCCCCACCACGGAGCACTGCTCTTTCCAGCCTCTCCCGTGCCATCTCCCCTGGTGAAGAGCGGGCTCACGCCTTTGCCATCCACCCAGGAAACTCGATGGAGACATTAAACGACTTGGAAAATTGAGCAGAAGAAAGAAGGGGGTGGGAGTCCAGCTCTCCACCCTGACCACTGTATCAGACAGCACAGAAGTGAGTTAGCACAGCTCAGCCAACCACACAGCTCAGCTGTCTGGATAGTCAGCGGTGACTAAGAACAGCGGGGCTGAGGCTGGGAACTCGGGCCCAGCGAGCGGATAGGCAGCCTCTTGTCACTAGGCTGCAGTGCTAAAAATTGAAGGAAGGATGTTAGGCAAATGAGCGGCCTGGGACGCAGTTACTGCTCCCGTCCTCCCCCGCCCCCTCATTGTGCAAAGGAAATGGATCTCTCGGGGTGGACGGTGGACGGCCCGGGAGGTGGAAACTGAGCAAGGGAGCTGAGTGGCTGACATCATCAGACCCAGCATTGGGTTACAACAAATGGGGACTGACTTGGCCGGAGACGTGGGAAACTCCCACCGAAACCTTGAAGTGCATTTCACTTAGGAGAAGGGCAGAGAGAGAGAACCGCGAGAATCCTGTCTGCACGCCCGCCGGCCTGGTCTGCCAGCCCACTGTTCCCTGGAAGGGCAGGCATTTCTGAACCCCGGCTTCTTAAATTCTACTTCCACTCTGGGTGAGGACCACCAGTCTTGGGCGAATCTCTCCGCTATGTAAGTAGAACTTGTTCTCGCCGCCCCCAGCCCTGGAGAAGCAGAGGCCCTGGAGGGCTTGCCTGGCACCTCGGTCACAAAGTGCCTATTTTTATGGCATGCTATATTATTGCTCTGAAAATCCTGGCTTAGTCTGAAACTGCCTGGGGCTAGTCTGCCTCCAGTCTCACAGATGGGCTCCGTTCAAATGCGGTTTTACTTTTTTTTACCCAGAGAACTTTGACAGACTATATCTAGAGCTTAAAAAGCTTGCCCCAAATAGAGGTGAAGAAAGCAAGCCTCCCCCTTAGCAACGGGTGTTTGTAAAGCCTTGCTCCTGATTACAAAGGCAGCCCAAGCCTCCTCGAGCCCCACACTGAAAGCCTCTGAAAGCCACAATCCCCGGCGTCTCCCCTCACAAATGCACGCCCGTGTTTGACATGGAAGCCACGGGACTTGCTCCCACAGCGTGAGCTCATCGGGGGCCAGCGCCGCCTCAGCGGGTGACGGACTCCGGGGTGGAAGGGGGCTGGAAATGAACTTTGGCTTTGTGATCTTTTCATTGGTTCCTTTTCAAAATGTGCTGTTTATGCCTAGGAGAGAAACAGAACACATAAACCATTGGCATTTTCTTTACTGGGGTCTGTCTTTAGTATTTTAAACGAGGGAGCCATACTCTGTAGAGAGGAGCAAGGGGCCCTCGCCACCCCAGGCCGTGTGCCTCGGCCTGGCTTGAGAGACAGGGCTCTGCAGGGCCTGGGTGTGACCCTCGTCCCCTACCAGCAGGTGGAAATACTTGAAAAGCCTTTATGGGGAAGACTTCAGCTTTAAATAATGAAGAGCCCTCCTCATGCCAGGAAGCCATGACCCCAGGCAAGTGTATCTTGCCTGGGGCCTGCGTTTCCTCCTTATGGGACCTGAATACGGGGTAAGAGTAGGTGACTGTGGGGTCCTCCCTGGTGGCGCAGCGGGTTAAAGCGCAGCACTGAGAAGCTAAAGCCACTTCCGCATGAGTTCGATCCCAGCCTGCCCCGGAGGTGACCACATGGTGTGGCAGACCTCTCCTGACCCGCCCGCTGCTCCCCTCAGCAGTGTACTTCGTCAGTCGGCCTGTTCTGCTCCCCACTCGTTCTCTGGTGAATCCTCTCACCGCCCCTGCACCTCTGGGCCTGTACCCCAGTTCTGTATGTATAAATACATAAGTCTCAAAAAGGGAGAGTAGGTGACGGTGTATTTCCAAGTTGAGCCTGCAGTGAACAGTCACGTTTCTTCCCCGTGCCCCTCGAGGCTTGAGGGGCAGAGTGCCCTTGGTTGTCAGTGTCCCCGAGCGCCCAGAAACCGGTGCCTGGAGGAGAATTGGAAGAGAACATTAAGCTACTTCTGAATGTCTCTAGTTTTATTGTGTTTTCCTGGGGGAAAACAAAAAAGTGCCAGTGTGATGTGTGCACGTGAACACCTGCCTCGCGTGGAGAGACGGGAACCAGCGCCATCGAGCGCCGGGTGAGCGGGAGGCCCATCAGCTCGTCCTGCGCGACGTGGTCAGTGACGCCGCCCTCCTCTCTGACGGAGGGCTGCCTCCGTGCTCTTCCCGCCTTAGCCCATGCGCCTCACGCGTCTACCTGAACTGGGCTCGCAGAATCACTGGCGTGACCGAGCTCACTGTGTCTCCCCTGCCCCACGGGCCTGTCTCACCCGTCTCTGCATCCCACGCACTCGGGCCAGAGGAGATGCCTTGGACTCCTCGACTTTCACCCAAACCCGCCGCCGCCGTGCGAGTTCCCAACTGAGCGAATGGCAGGAAGACGCTCAGAGCCTCCCTCCCACCTGCGGTTCCCCTGGACAGCGCCTCCACTGCTGAGCAGAGCACTGAGAAGCCAGAAGTCAAGCCTTGGCTCCTGAGTTCCAAGGTGACGGGAGTAGGCAGTTTAAAGCCTTTACTTTTTATTTTTTATTTATTTATACATACAGAACTGGGGTACAGGCCAGAGGTGCAGGGCCAGTGAGAGGCTTCCCCAGAGACAGAGCGGGGAGCAGAACAGGCAGATCGATGAAGCACACTGCTGAGGGGAGCAGCGGGCAGGTCAGGAGAGGTCTGCCATGCCCTGGGGGTCACCTCCGGGTGAGGATCGAACTCAGTGCTGCGCTGTAACCCGCTGCGCCACCAGGGAGGGCCCTCAGGCGATGAGAGATCCTGACCCTCAGGAAGGTGCAGTATTTAACAGTTTGTTTGAACTCGGCTCTTGGTTAGTGGGCAGGTCTCGGGTCCCCACGGCATACCCGACAGCCCAGCTCCCCCCCCCCCCCACAGCAGCCAGGCTCCCGAGACTTTAGGGTTGAAAGGAGGTGATATTCTGGGAGGGAGGTCCCTTGTCTGGCCAGGGTGGGACAGTGGACGTGTGGGGAAGCCTTACAGCCTTGGGGGCAGGCCTTCCCGTGACAGATGAGGCTCTCTGGGGCTGCGCTGTCAGCGTCAGCTGTCAGGGTGTGCCCCTGACTCCTCCGCCTGCCCCCTGCAGCGCGTTCAGGGCTGACTGGCCGCCTGGCCGGGGAGCTGGTGTGGAAGAGACCCCACGTCCAGGCTCTCACCTGGCTTTGGTTCTCCCCAAAGTACGAGTCGCTCCAGGGCCGCGCACCTCGCCTGGGTTGATTCTTTAGTCTTCACAAAGGTGACGTGAGGCCGCAGTGACCTCCATGTATGTGGGAAGGCCTGGGGAGGGCTCCCCGAGCCCCTGAGTTTCCGCTGCTCCCCGCTGCCTTTCCACAGCACCTTCCTCCAGCGGTAAGGTGAGGAGGCGTGAACAGAGCCAGAGGTCAGAGTGGCGCTGGCTTGGGGTTTTGTCTCATTAGAGTGCCCTCACGTGGGTGTCTCTCTGGGGGGTCACCTTCGCCCTCGCCTGCCTCGGTGTCCAGTGCGCTCTGCTCCCCTGCTCCCCTCGGCCCCTGGGGGCTTTTACATTTGTAGCCCCTGGAGGGCAGGGGCCCGCGGTCTGTCACTCTAGAGGCAGGGGTCACGCTGGGGTCGGAGTAAGGGTGTCACCAGAACCTGCCTCTCCGCTGTGAGTGGGGCCTTGCGAGGGGGCCCACCGCCAAGGGGCGGCCTGGGGCTGAAGTCTGGCTATTTTTGTACAAAAATACGTGCTTCGCAGGGGACTGTGGCCCCAGCCCACTGATGACGCGGTGGCGGGAGACGTGCGCGTGGAGAAACCGACAGCTCGGACCAAACGATAAAACCCAAAAGCGCCGCTTGGGATTAGCCCCGCGATGGCTACCTGGAAACCGGGGCCCAGCGCTGGCAGGGGTAACGCGATGGGGCGGGGCTGCCGCCTCCCCACTCGCCCATTTCCAGACCCACCGTGACGGCTCTGGAGCGTCCACCGTCACCGAGCCCGGCCCGAGGCGGCCGGGCGGAGCTGCTGCCCACCGGGCCGGTTACGCGGGCGGCAGCCGTGACCGCCGGGCCGAGCGCACGACTCACTGCCGGGCGTCTTCGCCAGGGGCCGGGAGCGATTCCTGCGTGGAGGCAGACGTGGAAAATCCTGAGTTCTTGGAAATAATCGCGACCGCGGCCGAGCTCACCCCCTCCCGGCAATCTGGCAGAAGCGCTGTGTGGAAGCTAAGCGCGGCCCCGTGGCTGCTCCCCCATGCTGGGAGCTGCAGGCGGTGCGGCCTCTGCCAGGCAGCCAGCCTGTGCTGGCCTTCGGGGAAGGCCCTGTAATCTCCCGAGAAGTCGATGCTCTTCAGCTTGGCTTCTCTGTACTGAATAACGGGCCGTGGGGCGCTGAGGGAATGAGGTGCTGGACAGCTGAGGGGTGTTTCCCGTGTCCAGGGACCTGGCGAGTGGCCGCCTGCAGGGCTTTGTGGGTGCGACCTCTGACGCTGAGATGAGCAGGGAGAAGCAGGGTGACCAGAAGACAGCCTCAGCTCCTGGGGGTTCCCTGTGGGTCAGGGGAGCCAGGGCAGGGGAGTGGCGGCAGTGAGCTTGGCGGTGAGCGGGTCCCCAAACTTGAACTGGCCTGAACCCACTCAGTGTTTTCATAACATTGTTGTGGATTTTTAAATTTTTTGTGGGTACAGAATTAGGCTATGCTCACGACGGGAAAATACAGCACAAAACGTGTTTAAAGCACCAGCCCGTGACTGCGCTGACTCCTCACTGAGGTAGGGCCGGGAGAAAGGGCCTCGAGTTCTCAGGACGCACCTTCAGCCTGCCGCCAGGACGCTCTGCCTGTCAGCGCCCACTAGCAGTAGGCCCTCCCCTCCCTGCCCCCCGCCCCACCCACCACCGCGTTTCCAATTTAGTTCTTCCCTGGACAGAGTCTCCATGGCTCACATTCCGTGTGTGGCCCCTGGGGTAGGGGTAAGAGAAGCCACTGCCTGACTGGCCCGAGGCTGCAGCCCGCGGTGGCGCTTTGCCGAGTGTGTTCCGGCCCAAGAGCCTCGTGTGTGAGGCCCCCGGCAAGGTGCTGTGGGGGCCCAGGCCCGCAGCCCAGTGCAGCGAGGCTGGGGAGCGGGCGGCGGGGCTCGAGGTGCGCCTTCAGCTCGCCGCAGTCCGCCCTCCCTGTGTTTGCCCGTCTGGGCGGCACACCTGAGACCTGCCAGGCGCTGCGGGCAGCGGTGATAGGCAGCTGTCGGGCAACCATCCCAGGCTGGGTAGCTTCTTCGCGACTCTCGCAGACGGAAAGGGGATTTTGGAGCCCTCGGTAGATGTCACAGGCTGCATCAGGAGACACACCAGCAGGCAGGGAGACAGCATCTGGCCCCCCGCTTCCCTCACGCCAGCCCCGAGGACCCCCTTTCTAGCCCTCACCCTGTATTTACATGTGGGCACGCCCTGTGCTCTGGGCCCAGACGTCCATAATCACGGGGCCTGTGCCCCGTGCCCACACCTCTCGGCCCGGAGCATCCCTGTGCAAGGGCACCCTGGTAGCTGTAGAGGAAGCTGCAGGAGGGCCGGGAAAGCCTGATTGGACTCCCTTTTCCCTGCACCAGCGCTGCACGAGACAGGCCCGGCCCTTCCTGTGACAGGTGTACACAGGCACACGCAGCAAACAAGCAGACAGTGTGTGTGTGGGGGGGGGAATAGAGAGGGCAGACGAGGAGGTCGGTGAGGGTGGGTTTGCTGAAGAGGTGCTTTAACCACGGTGTGGTGTCAGGTACGTCCAGGGCCCAGGTAGGAGCTCAGGGTGCTGTGGGGCGGGAAGGGTGAGGGATAGACGATTAGAAGGCAGGGGAGCATATGGAAGGTTCGAGAATTAGAAGGAGCCCACGTGCCTGAACAGAGAGGGGAAGCGCTGGAGAAGCAGGTGAAGGTTGGGGGAGGAGAAGCAGCAGGACAGCCAAGCAGAGTGTGAGGCCGTGAGGAGAGCAGGTGTGGAGGCGGGAGTGGAGGAGAGGAGAGGGGTGCGGGGCGGAGCGAGGCGGGGTAGAGGCGGGGGAGCTGTGGGTGCCTGTTGCCACTTCAGAGTCACCTGGCACAGGGAGTGCTCCCTCAGGAGTGCCAGTCCTCCTCTGTGCTGTTTCGTCCACTGGATTAAATTGGGTCCCCTCCTCCCTCCTTCCATCAACATGGTTTGCAAAACAATCCCATTTCACGTCTCTAGACTTCAGGACCCATGTGACATAGACGCCAGAGCATCTGCTTGGGGGCCCGAGCCAAGGAGCAGAGACGCGGTGTTTACAAGGCTTTGGCTCCCAGCAGACCGACGCTCCCAGGAGTGGATTTAATTGGGTTTGGGGGAGGCAGGCAGTCAAGGGCGCAGAGCCCCAGAAAACAACAGCAGAGCACCAGCCCACACACTACCTACACGGGGCAGCTTCAAGCCCAAACTTCAGACTTTCTTTTGAATTTTGAAAGGGGATTTTTTTTTTGAAGAGTCCTCCCACCCCCCACCCCCACTCCTTTTACATGAAAGACGTACGTATCTTAGAAGTAAACGTTTTCTCTCCATGACGCTTTAAAAAAATTTTGTCTTCCAACTGTCAGAATGATAGGTTGGAAACCCTGTTCTGTGTCGGCCAAAACAAAACTGATAATAAATGCCATTACCTGTGCTCTGTGAAGATAAAAAAAACCGTGTAACATCAGTTACCACAGTTTTCTCTGATCTCATATGCTGGCTCCTTTGTTATTGTTTATTTGCTTCAGTCATTTTTCCTGAATACATATTCCCAAATCCAGTGTGCTCGTCGTAACTAATTCAAAGATGTGTAAGAAAGTCATAATCTCTCAGCCCCTCCTCCCCGTTGCCATCCTTTTGGGATAACCAGTCATCACTGTGGTGTATATCCTTCCTTCCAGAACTTTCTCCAGACTCCTGTTCAAATGGACATAGCTTGTATATGTGGGATCAGACTTTGTAATGTTGCAGTTTTTCCCTCCCCATATACACACAAAGGATAGGCAGCTATCTGACTCCCCATTTTAAGTAGCTTCAAGGCTGTCGATATAGAGGTGCCAGGATACATTCTTCGACAAGGATTCCGATGGCGACCTGTTTTTTGTCTCCAAAAAGAAAAAAAAATACTGTTGTATTAAATATCTGTATACATATACTTCTCTATTGGCCCTTTATTCTTAGCGAGTATGTTTTCACAAACAGTCCTGGGTCAAGAGGCACTGTGTTTAACTTGTAAAATGATGAGATCCTACATCACTTACAGTTTTAGTGGCTTGCATTCTCCCTGTCAATATGGATTTGACCATTTCCTAAATCTTGATCAACATCAGATATTTCTTGCTCCCATTCCCCCCTCTGTTGTTTCATTTTGTGACCAAGTTCGTGGGGAAAAATTGTATCCCCGGTCTGCTGAACTACGCTCTTTACCACTAGTGAGATTGCACTCAGCTTCATGGTAACTGACCATTTCAATTTCCTCTTCACCCATTTTCATGTGAATGGTTTGTCTTTTTCTTAAGTGGCAGGAGCACTTTACATATCTACCTATGAAGGATTCCATGTGTGTTGCTATTATTTTTCTTAATCATAAAAATTTTTCTATTTAAAGAAAAACATTTAGTGTTTCTATTTTTCTCTCCATAGTGTCTGATTCTTGCCTTGTTTAGAAACAGTTTCTCTTCCTCAAAGTTGTGCAAATATTTCCCTAAATGATATTCTAACATTTTCATAGCTTTAATTAATTTAAACTATGTCCGTTTCATCCCCTTGGTTTATGTGTAGTAAGAGGTAGTGGTCAAGTTTTGTTTGCTCTAAGATGCCAGCACCATTTGTTAAGTTGTAAGAGGGTGGTTTCAAGAAAAGAGGGGGAGGTCCCAGGGCCCCTGCCCCACCCAAGGGAAGGTGGAGCTGAGCAGGGAAGGGGAGAAGCTGGAGAAGGGAAGCAGGCGGGAGCCAGAAGGATCCCTGGAGGTGGCACATGGAGCAGAGACAGGTGAGGAAGCTGCACTTGCTTTTTGGTCCTGGGCTGGTTAACAGATGTGGATGAGACCTGTGGGGAGGTTCGCTATGGCAGCTTTTATCTTCATTTTGCTCTTTTCCTCCCAGACTTGTCTGGCCATCTCTGACCCTTTTCTCTGGGTCCCCGCTGGAAGGTGCTTTAGACCTGTGGCGGGCTTTTGGGCCTTAGTGGTCCTGCCTCGGGCCAACCCTCTTTGGCTGGGCATTTGCCCACAAGGGGATGGGTAACTTTGGATGCTTGATTTGGAAACCTTATTCTTCCCTTTTTCTTTTTCTTTGTTGCACACTAATTTTAATAAAGTTCCTTTCCATTAAAGGTCCTAGGTGTTTTGACTTGATGCAGAGAATGGCGGGACCTATTTAGAGTGGGCAGGTTTGGGGGTTTTGGGGTACTCCTGTCCAGTAACAAAAATGGACTGCTTTTTTCCCTCTGAGTGGAAATTACATCTTTATCATAAATGATTTATTTTATCGTACCTGTTTCTGGATCTGGTGTTGAAGTCCTCGGACCTACTCGCTTATTCTTATGTTAATACTGGATCTTTTAAGCATAATGTCTGTATAGTGAATTTTTATCATAATACAAATCTGCTATTAAAGGTTTTCTTTATTCTTTCTTGGTCATTTTTCTTGGCTATGTAGTATTCCATGTGAATTTTAAGGTAATTTTATCCACTCTCCTTTCCAAAATAACTGTTGGTTATTGAAACTTAGTTATATAGTAATTTGGCAAGGATTAACATTTTTGTATGTCTAGGTTTTTCCACCCAAGCGTGTACTAATTGGTTTGAAAACCATGTATCCTACTTTAATTTTCAGTTGTTTTTACCTTCAGAATTTTAATATGCATCATAGACATAGTATCTAAAGGAAAATAGTATTTCTATGTCCTGAGTAATAAAAAACCTGAGGAAGTCTTCACTCTAATCTCTTCCGTGCTCAGTGTTACGTGTCAGATTGTAGAAATTGTCAATTTTTTAATCTCCTCATTAGCTTCATTTTATTTTTTACATTTACCAATATAGTTCACAGCGCTGTACTTTAACCATAGTGCCAATAGGGAGAGCCCTGTTTCCTCTTTTTTTTTTTTTTTTTTTACTGTTGAAGCATGATTTTACTAAACTTTACTTACATGAACTTATCCATAGTGTAAAGTCTGAGACATTCAGCTTTCCCAAAGAATCTGCACCGTTAATATGTTAATAGACATTCTTAACTTATTTTTCCAAGAGATTATCTCTGTCCAGCCACAATGACTGCCTCACTCTTATTTCTGTTTTTCTTCTGGTTTCTTAGAATTTCCACGTCCAACAATCAACAGGGAGAAATCTGAAGAGATGCAAGCAGGAAAAGGAAACTAAACCAGGTGAGTGACACCTTGCTCGCTCCATATAGCATTATGAGTCAACACCTTGTTTCTGGCTGAAGGAAGAAAAGAAATAGGTTCCGAGGAAATGAGAGGACTCTCAGTCCACGGAGAGAAGACAGGCACGCCATGGGCAGAGGTTGGGTGCGCCCTCACTGCCATGTCACGGGGTTGACCCCACTTCCAGGCGGTTTCTGTGCAGCTCCAGGCAGACCATCCCCTGCTGCAGGCGTCAGGGAGGACAGGCTCTTCAGCCGTGTGCTTGAGCAGGTGGAGTCAAGCCCAGGTTGTCAGCAAACGTGGGCATGACATCCTGAGTTCCCTGTGGACTGATCACTTGTTGTGAAGTGTTTTCAAAAAGACAAGGGCACACTGCAGGGATCTTCCGACCATGAGAGAGGAGCGCGTAACCACAAGCACGGCCCAGGGGTGGCCCCGGGGCCTTCCGGTCAGATGCAACGGCAGGACACCGAACATGCGTGGCCTGCCCGGAAGTGTGGCCACTTTGGGTCAGCCTTTGGACTTAGTGACATCTAATTTCTGGCTCAATAACCGTTAAGCCCCTGCACCATGGTTCACCGCAAACCCATTGCCTGCACTGTAGTCACAGCATCGTGCTGCTGTCTCCAGAGTCCCTTCTAGAACATTCTCACCACCCCATAAAGAAACCCTGCACCTTTACTCATCACCTTCCCAGCCCCGCCCCCCTCCCCCTCCCCAGCCTAGGCAACCGCTAACCTACTTTGTCTCCACCGGGAGGAAATGTGGGTGAGCTGGAGTGACTCATTCCCTGGCGGGCAATCAGACAAACAAAACTGGGCGCTGATGTACTCCACAGAAGGCTTTACCAGCCGAGGAGCGACATGCTTGCTGGTAGAGGCAGGAGGCAAGTTTTCCCCGAGTCGCTTCCCCTTGCCGCGCGGCCTGTCAGATGGGCTCTCGTCAGCCAGCAGCTGTAAAGCGGTGACAGCTTCTCCCTGGCGTCAGGACTGGGGGGGGGGG